CAAGCATAAACAAATTTAGCGCTAAATCTGGTGTGAGGTATGGGGAGAAAGGCTGGCGCGGGCCAAGGCGCGACAGGGGAAGTGCCAGGATGGTGGCGGGCAACAGGCAGGTGTGAGCATGAAAGCGCGGAAAGAGGCGATGGGGAGGCAGTGTACAGCAGATGGGTGGAGGTGCCAGGAGGGTGGCGGGCAATGGGCCAGTGAGATCGCTACAAGTAGGGAGTCGTTTGGTGACGGGCAGGCGTGAGCAGAGTGGCATCGCCGACTACAGGCCAAGGGATTTTGTTATTAATAATAATGGGTGCTCAGGCAAAGTGCAGTACAGTACTTGGTTAGTTCATTTGATAGGTGTGAAATTTGCGAGGCGGAACTTATTCTCATGCCTGCATTTCGAGACCATCTCAGACCGCTTGTTGAGTAGGAGCTTCTTGGGTGTAGTCAGGATGTGGAATTTTTCCCGCGGTACAAAGATTGCATTTTTTGAAGTATACATACCTGTTAACCATGGACTACTTCTGGCTAGATTAACTCTTGTGTGATCATGGTGCTAGTGAAGCTTGTATCAGGTCCACTCTGATTTAGCCACCCACACTAGTAGCAAGTATCATCTTCACTGGGGGCAGGGATAACTGCAGTTGGATCACAGGACGGATACTCTGATGTCGTCAATCCTTTTTCTGCACCTTGTCCTCACCCACTTACTGAGGTGTGGTGAGCCCATACATGGGATCATTTTCAAGTCCACCCAGAGTTTTGTTTGGGGATCTCAGGGGGTGTCTGGCCGTTGGGCGGTTCAATAGCCAATTGAGTCATCTTTCTAAGATTCCTTTTGAGTCTCTCTCCCCCGAGTCTCCCGGGGGAGACCCACGTGACCAGTTTTGGCAGTGAGCAACAAGTACCAAGTACAAGTGTGTGTGTGTGTATGGGCGGGGGGATGGAGTTCTGCGCATACGGTACATCAATGCAAGTTGATATCACAATGTCAGCATTTCTAGTATTCGCGAATGTCTCGTCTACATCTGCAGCTTATTGAATGACATCATCGTACATAGGACATAGTAGCAAGCTAGTGGCCAGTGTTTGCCGATGTCACACTTCCTACAACACACCTGGAACGATGGCATACTGGAATACCCCGTACAATCGTCGCAGGCAGAATCTGACCTCATGAATCTATTCTAAGTGTCTGTGATCATGAATCTAGCCACTCCCTGCCGCGGTGACTCTAGCATGTCTCTAGCACTGCCACTGTGGTCAACAAACACTTGGGTATGCTGTGAAGTCGCCAAGTCGGTGATGTCATATTCAAGGGGTCGAATTTCAAAGGTCGCAACTTTATTCGGACCCACTGCCTCTTGGCTTACATGTACTATGTGTTACCGGTGTGTATGTGTGTGTGTGTGTGTTTGTGTGTGTGCGTTTGTGTGTGTGTGTGTGTGTGTGTGTGTGTGTGTGTGTGTGTGATTTTTGTGTTTTTTCATGCCATTCAACGAAATGCAGTCGATAGTCAGTACTAGAAGGTTGATAAAGGCACATTTGTCCGGGTGTTCGCCCCGTACGTTGTATTTCGCATAGCAAGACAGTTATTTTGAAAATGGAAAAATGGGTTACGGGGTGACTGTTTCCCCCCCCCCCCTACTATTTTGACCTGGCTGCAATTGTACACCCTGCACACCCATGCTTGAAAGCAGGGAGTAGCAAAATACCGGTATTTTACTACTCCCTGCTTGTATGAATGCCAGTTTGCAAATAGCTCTAGACTGACCAGAGCATTGTACATCACCGTGTCGCTGATTGGTTGCTGGCAACAGTATTACAGTATGTGTACATATAACTGGGAATTTCCCTACAATTATGCCATTTGTAATGGAGGTGAAATAAAAATTTTGGGATCCGTATAGAAAATGTTTGTGTAACAGTTATGTGGCATTGTGGCAACCTCACCTGGGGACGCTGGAAACAAGAGCTCTCTCGTCCTCGTCCACGTTATCCATTGTAAAATCGCATCCGATACTTTGGAAATGTCAATTGTAGCGCTGCATGAACGGTAAATTCTTATCCATTAACATTAATTAATTTTTGTTTGCGAAATTGTCGCTCGCGCCCTAGCGCTCACATGCACAGAGCCGGGTAACCACGACCGCGTTCTATTATTCCGGCTGGCATCGATTGCTCTCACCATGAACACTTGCCGGTACAGGTCTGAACTACCACAGCCCGCACACAGGTAGCCCACAGAAACTTGGTCCTGAGCACTGCTGTCTTGGACCCAAACGCTGACAGCGACTTTCAGAAACAGAAAAAAGTCGCCACTGCACGTGTCTACAGACAGTAGATCTACAGCGCTAGCGTAGTATGATCTTCTGCTAGCAGGTAGGGACGAGCGATGCGGGGCACCATGCATGCATGGTAACGAGGATCTGCCATCTCATTCTCACACTAGTCACAGCTTCACTGCATGCACTACATCATACTCATAGTTCATACACAATGCGTCATATAGTCTTCAGTAATCAGTAGTATGAACTATGATAATGTCAATGAAGCTGCCCCCCCCCCCCCCCCTACCCCATAAGCATGATAACCCACGCCCTGGGCAGGGTCTGGGTCCGCAAATCGAAGTGCTGATGTCATAATTGTGTGAAATCCGGCCCAATAATTGCCACACATATTGTGACATAAACAATTAAACATATTCAATGAAACAAATGCCGTGCCCGGGCATAACTAACTTAGTTTCGGCTACTGCATCAATACACCGCATAGAGTCTACGCATGATACGAGCCGCATATCGCATGATACTGGCTCGCCAATTTCGGCCAACCTCACCAACTACTTGACTATGTATCATAGCAGGACACCCATACCTAAAGCATACTTGCACAATGACAATTGTCCCCGGTATAAATTGTACATGTATACAAAACAGGACTGTCCTGCTGGGGTCGGCGGGATCATGGATAATGCATGTGCATGTACATGTACATGTGCATGTATGGGCAGTGCTCAATCTGCGGACAGCATGCTGTACGGACAGTGCTCAATCTCTGGACAGCATGCTGTACGGACAGTGACAGTGAGCAGATAACTGAAGTGCAAATAGGAGAATGCCTATACAGTCGTCCCTCTCTAATCCGGCACTTTATAATCCAGCACCCTCGATAAACCAGCACAATTTTCAGTAGCCAAATGTCCTCTTCATGCACATTGCAGCAGTAGATCAGATTTGTTAATCCAGCACCCTCCCTAATCCAGCAGATTTCCGTGGCACAAATGGTGCCGGATTATAGAGGGACCACTGTAGTAGAACCTCTCGTATCAGGGTACCTCACCGGGACCAAGGGTACCTCGCCGGGACCAAGGGCTGCCCGTACCTTACTGTCCTTAGAGTCCGACGGTCCGGAACTCAGAAAACCACTACAAAATGGATGTGACACATCATTCTCTTCAATCGGACTCACTAAAGCAAAAATTAAATTGCGGTACCATCTACAGGCATGCACACCACTCAATGGGATCTGCATGTAAGGGCTAAGACCGTATATGTAGAGGAATAGTTCAGCTAACTGCCATCAGAAAAGGAAGACCATGATTATGAAGCAGGTTTGATTGACGTGCCTGCAAGGTGTCCAGATATGGGAGGACAGGTTTGGGTGTGGATAAGAGTTTCCTACTGCACTAACGGTAAGTAAGTCCTATTAGCATTGCACATGTAATACTAGTAACGTCAGTATCACTGTGACCTCATAATGACATCACAGTCATATTACCATGGTTACCACAATATCAGTGAAAAGATAGATCTACTCATCTCTAGGGAGACTTCGACAAAGAAAACGAATTGATCATGTAAGTGCGACATGACATGACATTGTGCACTTGCTTAAATAGGCTCAACCATTGCAGGGTCATATGTCTCAACAGTTCATTTGTGTGCCAGGAGAATGCCGATTACGGCGATTAGCCTTCTCCTGACCTTAGCTCAGAGCCGCATGGTTGTGACAGGCATCTGGAGGGGAGAGCATTGATAGATGGCTCAGCGATCGCATCCAGACAACGCTGTGACAGTGGCATTCTTCAAATAATGGAAACCTAAAAGTTTGAGAGCTCCACTGGAGCGTTTTTTCTACGTGCAGCTACCGCGGCTGTACACACAGGCTGGCAGCTAAACAAGATTACCAACCGAAGCCTACCTTGATAATCAGCCCTAGTCAGATTGAAATGTATAGCCGTTCAGAAATGGGACGGCATCGATGTTGGCTTGTATGTGAGTCTTGAGTGACTTGGGCCACACAATCAGGTCTCTAGTCCGCGATTTACTGGCATGAACGGCTCTCTCACAAGCATCCAGGTAGCTGGTGGAGCATTCCAGTTCCAGGAACTGACAAACCTTGTGCATCACTTTCCTCGGCTGGTGCTTCACGTGTCGTGAGTGTATATCCACCAGGTGGGGAAACATGTCCCTGTTGTTGTGGAGCTTGGCGTTGAGCCTGACCAATGCAAAGTACTTCTCAGTCTGCGCCTCCAGCTCCCTGGGATTGTCAAGAGGATTGTCCTGTTCCAAAAAATATAGAAAAGCCCGTTTTAGTTTGGCACTTGGTATGAAATGTCAATCGTCGCTTCAGAAACATGGCACAGTGTAAGAAGCATGCAACAATACTCGTGAGCTCAAAACATACACAGGCCAGTCTCTGTGATTGCCTATTCGATCCATAAAGTATACAGCGCAACACACAGCGATGCTACGGCAGCGCTGCAGACAGATGGGCCTCCTCTTGCTCGCTAACTCCTGCCTTAAACTGCAATTCTAGGCATTGGCAAATACAGTCAAAACCTGGTAATCATGGACACCCCGGCAAGACACTGAGGCCACATGCAAAACACATTTGGCAGTGATGTGAACACACTCACCTTGGTAGTAGTGAAGCGCAGGTTCAGGCTGCGCAGGGCGAATGTAGCGATGTTGTCGAACGGATTCCGCACCACGTGAATGATGTACAAGGGTATGCCTATCTTCTTCATCATCTCCTGGAACACAGCCCGTCCCTCGGCTGTGGCCAGAAAGTGAGTCGTGTCGCCACCTTTCTTATCTCCTATGACCTGTGAACATAGAAAGGTGAACAACCGATTGGAAGCATTCAATGGCACTATGCACATGCAGCATGCGAACAAGAACTTTGATAGATGTGAAGAGAGTGTGCGCTCAGTCAAATACTATGACACCAGAGAGACAATAACTTTGTGTTTTCATCATCATCATGCAGGGGCGGATCCAGGATTTTTCCAAGGGGGGTTCAGTTTTCTTCCACCCTTACCAAAGTGTGTTAAAATGATGACATAAAAAAAATAAAAAAGTGCTTTTTGAAAATGACAGTTGCTGGACTACAGTGGTTAAGAAATTGGCTGCCGACTGACCGCCTGCAAATGTACAGTGCCTATATTTATTAAAAGCGGATAATCAAAAGCATTGTAGAATGGAGAGGATGACGACGACTGATGGAAATGAAATTTGCTGGAATACAGTGGTTAACAGGGTGGTTGCTGTCCTGCCGACGGATAGGCATGTATGAGCAAACAGATTTAAAGCACTTTTTCAGCTCCAAAAGCTCAAAAAGGGCGATATGCACCAAACAAACGCAATAAAGGGCGAAAGAAACGGGCTTTTCCAAAAAGGGTGAAAAAGGGCGGGCACCTTTGGGAAAGGGCTAGAGGATAGGCGCTCTGATCCCATTGTCGAGCGCTCGAGCGCAGGTAGTGCTTCACCCGTTTCAAGGCAGTGTTGCTGTGCTCATTCTCCGCAGAGGTGACGGGTAGTGTTGAAGCAATCCGGAGGAGGACGTGGATGTTCGGGAAAACATCGGCATCGCAGTGCACAAGAGCTTCTTGTGGGGTAGCTGGAAGTGCACCAGACTTCTCTGCTGCGTCCTTCCATTTCCTGACCCACTTTCGGATGTCAGTTGATAAAGTTGAAGAGCTTGGCAGATCATCAGAATACGTGTCAACCAAGGAATGTTGGCAAGTAGGCCTTTCCCATATCGGCCGGCCGAAAAGTAGCCTTTTCAGAATATCGCCCATCTTTTCGCCGAATTCTGAGATTTTACCAAGAAATCGCGGAATATACATGTAATCTACGTGGAGATAATAATTTTAATATAGCTATCGATTCTGGGTTTTCAATCATATTTTTGTTTTAAAACACACAGTAATACATGTCAAACAAGTAACGTAGTTGCGTGATGTCTGCGGCCTTCATCCTATTCATAGCTACATGTATATTGAATATGTACATGTAATAATAATAATAATTAACTTTATTAGGATGACCCAGAGGCTTGTCGCCTATCAATACCTTATTCCTTGGACTTTTGCTGACTTGGCTCCTAGACTACAAGGGGTTCACCGCTTTGAAGGGTGTACATGTACATGTACATGTACAATGTATGAGCTAAAGTGAAAGTAGTACAATCATGTACATGTTTTGCAGGGTCGTGGCAACTGGGCATGACCGCTCGTGCGCGCCTGCGTCACGGCCTGTGGGCATTTCCCAAATCGGCCGGCCGAAACATTCATGCAGATGTTACATTGATATTCGGCAAGGTGTTCGTCTGAGGATCATATCAATGTAACATCTGCATGATTCAGCTCGGCTATATATGCGCTACGGCAGGCTAGGCCAGGATCCTAGGAGCAATTCGCATGCCTGGCTTTTGTAAAATAAAAAATAAAAAAAAACAAAAAACTGCACCATGGTCGGAAAAATTTTAGGGGGTTCGTTCGAACCCCCCGAACCCCCCCCTGGATCCGCCCCTGTCATGTGACCGGCATCAGAAATCATCACCACACTGAGAACTAGACTACCAAGGAAAATCGTTATGATGCCGTAAGGTGATATTTTAGAGCTGAAACGAAAACTGATGCGAGAATACTCTCTTATACTGTGATCCTCATGATCCATAAACATTAAAAAATATATATATACAGTTGCTGCCCACAGATTTGAGTATACCTACCTTGTGCAGTGGAACATCAAAATTACGACCACCTTTGAACAGGAAAAGTGGTTTGGTTTCTGAGGTGGTCTGCCGGATTTGTGAAAATGACCATCCTTCATGCGCACTTTGATATGGAGGAAAAGTCAGAGCCAGGCAAAGTGGTCGGATTGGTAAGGTGGACAAAAGCGAGGATTCACTGTAGTCCAGTTGTCAGCACGATGATAATTCTGATGCTGCCCACATGAAAGTGGTGTTATTGTCCCTCTAGTGTCATAGTATGACCGCATGCACTCCCATTGTATTTACAAGCACACGCCCTAGCAAAATGCGATGGTATGCACTCGTAAGACAGACAGATGGGTGGATAGGTGTGTGGACAGCCACATGAGTCAGTGAACAGATGGGTGGAGAGTTAGCCCCTTTAGGAGCCGCACATATTTGAAAGGGAATGTACCTATGGATAGATGCAGTGGAGAGGCATTGGATCAGGAGAGGCAGTGCACCCTGGGGTTCAACACATCATACGACGACCACCCCTTGGGGCCGGAGAAAGCGGTCTTTAGTGGCAGGTGGTCCGAAGTTAGAGGTTTGCACCGCACAACCATATATTGAATGTAAGACCATCCGTGCCTGGCGAAGTGGTCTGTAGTAGCAGGCTGGTCACTAGTCATGGTGGTCTTTAGTTACAGGTTTTACTGTATTATCTTATCAAACTCCACATATCACCACACGTCATTCGTTGTAATTGATAGTTACAACGAATGAAGTGTGGTGCTCTGTGACGTGTGAAACTCCACTTATCATACTCACGGCTATCGTCTGATTGAATCGACCTTGCCACTGGTCGTGTACATGATACGAGTACGTACTGCCCATATATAGCAGACCGGGGATTGTCGGGATAGGAACTTTTGGATCCCGACGATAGCCTTGCAGAGAGTCATAGCGCGACTTGGTGTACAGGCGTTCGAATATGGACTGCTTCGTCATGCTCCTGTCACGCGCATATCTCCATGGCAGATTGTACTCGTTCGAGATCAGCACGTGTGGGTGAGCATCCAGTAGCGACCCCATCAATGTGTGACTGCTGCGTGGATAGCCGATGAAGAAAACAAACTTCTTCACCTTGTCAACAATGGCCGGGCTCAGGGGAAGCTGCTTCAGCACCGAATCCAGAACCAGTTTCTTCAAGCCGGAGAGGCTGATGCCATGCATGTCGGCATCTCGCATGTGCAGGCCAGGAAAACTATTCTGCACGCCTGCTGCTGCATGCTGACTATCCTTGTTGCTCCGCTTGATGATGGCATGTTTATTGTGGGATTTCTTGCTTTTTCCTGCATCCAACACAAGTAAATCATATTCATTTTTTCGCTCGTACACTTTGTTTCAGCAGTAAATTCAACACTAATGGGCAAGTTGCCATGTAAACTACGAATTCTGGATCATTTTCCAACTACAAAAATATCTTCATTTTAGTATATTGTCTAGTACACTCCATGCTGGGCAAAGTGATTATACTAGCTCCACAGCCAGACTTTCTAGTTTCAAACATGCAATGATGCACAGTGCATGTCTACTTCGATACCGTGTAGAGGCCCATGGACCAGTCTTTCCTCATCGTATGATCCGGTGCGATTTTGCAAATTAAAGGGGAAGTTAAGGCAAAAATTAAAATTTCACCAGTTGTAGTCTTTGGGGTGCTGAGTCGAATGGTCGTGGTCCGAGGAAGCTGAGACGCTCCCTTCCTACTTGAATCCCAATCGAACTCGCGCACTTCCACCGAAACTGGGTGACTGCGCCCTACTAGATGGGGATTTGTATGCAAAATGTCACTAAAAGCGCCATTTCGTTCTTATAAAAGCATGGATGACCGCAATTGGCCCATATGTTGTAGCCTTTTGGACGCTGAGTCGATTGGTTATGGTCCGAAAAGGCTGCGATGCAGCGTTCCTCCTTTATTCCCAATCGAACATGGTTGAACAAGCGGTCACGTGCTCCTGCGTACGCCAGTCACCTGGTCAACGTGCCTGCAGGGTACAAATTACTAGCCTGTTTGACCTTTTTTGGGTGCAGTCCTGTCACTCGAGTTGAACTTGAGTTGAACCTTGGTGTGAAAGTTGTCGCCTGCTGGTGTGGTGACCAGGTGATTTGGGCACCCAGGAGCACGTGACCGCTTCTTCAACCATGTTCGATTGGGAATAAAGGAGGAACACTGCATCGCAGCCTTTTCGGACCAAAACCAGTCGACTCAGCGTCCAAAGGAGTACAACATATGGGCCAATCGCGGTCATCCGTGCTTTTATAAGAACGAAATGGCGCTTTTAGTGACATTTTGCATACAAATCCCCATCTAGTAGGGCGCAGTCACCCATTTTCGGTGGAAGTGCGCGAGTTCGATTGGGATTCAAGTAGGAAGGGAGCGTCTCAGCTTTCTCGGACCAAGACCATTCGACTCAGCACCCCGAAGACTACAACTGGTGACATTTTATTTTTTGCCTTAACTTCCCCTTTAAACACATCCACGTCCTTGGTTCAAGATACGCGTACCATGTGCACGCACTCGGGAGTGCACACTGCTCACAGTGATACAGCAAGGCATACCGGCCTGCAGTGCTCCAGTTCCATGCACTTGCGATCTTGTAATTCTGTAAATTAGCCCAGGTGTCCGTTGCAAAGCGGGAAGTGCAAGCAGTGGTTGCCATGAGCCTGCGTGGCTCTTCGTCGTCGGAGATTGCTCGGGTATTGAGTTTGTCGGCTCCAGGAGTCAGGCAGATCGTCCAGCAGGCTCATGAGTGGCGAACTGTTGCTGTCAAGCCCAGGAGTGGTGATCCACGTAAGAGCGACGAGAGGTACGACGAGAGGCTTCTAAAGTGCTCAGTCTCACTGATCGCTTCAAACCTGCCACAGGATTGCAGAAGAAGCTAGCAGGGGAAGACTGGTGCAAGTCTCTCAGGTCGAACTGTGCGCAGGAGGCTGCAAGTAGCTGGCCTGGATGGCAAAGTGGCGGTGAAAAAAAGCTATATTATTAGCGAAAAAATCACAAGAAGAGGTTGCAGTTTGCAAAGGTTCACAAATCGTGGACACAACGGAGCGATGGCCACAGGTCTTATGGACTGATGAGTCCAAATTCAATATGCAGGGCAGTGACGGTGTTCGGTAGGTATGTCAGGAGGGGCAAAGGAGAGTGGGTGAACCCCAAATGTCACCGTTAAGCATGGTGGAGGTGGAATTATGGTGTGCGGTGCTCTGGCGGCGCGTGGTGTTGGACAGCTCTACACGGTCGTGGGCAAGATGGAACACACCCAGTACCATGGCATCTTATACAGTTGTGGCAAGTGAAATCCGACACTTGGCATAAGGGACTGCACCATGCAGTCTGCAGCCCCTGCAGCCCTTTGTACGTACAGTGCATGTGTATACATACAACTTTATCTGTCTGATGACAAAACTCGTACTCATCACAGTCTAGGTTCAAAAGGTGCTGGCAAAAATGAATGGGGATTGGATACCAATACTCCTTATGTGTACCATATTTGTGAACTGTGTGTATCTACGCTGTGACCTTTCGATCTGTTGGGATGCATACGGCTCTTTGGTACAAATTAGGTGCAGTGCATTACATCATTGGTGTCCATTTGTGGCGCTGTCCCCTATGGCAAGTGTCGGATTTCACTTGCCACAACTGTACAACTGCATAGTGCCAAGCATGTGCGGGCTGCTTGGCGAAGGCCATTGTGTATTGCAATAAGACAATGACACAACGCATACCGCGCCGCATGCCACGAAGTGGTGGCTCCATGACTAGCCGTTCTGCACAATGGGGTGGCCAGCTACAAAGTCCTGACCTGAGCCTCATTGAAAATCTCTAGGTGATTCTCAGTGAACAGGCATCGTGATCACTCCAATCATGGCGGTCGGAATGAGGCTGAGCTATGACTGGAGTACAGGAGTGCATTGAGTAAGATCACACCCGAAATCGGAACTATGCATGAAGAGGGTGAATGCAATGCCGAAGAGAATGGCTGACGTGAGTAAGAACAAGGAATGTGCCATTGATTAATCAATTCCCCTAGCACTCGATGTTGATACAGTTTTCATAGATTTTTCTGGCACATAGACCCCGCCCTGGCTTAGCTTTTAGTGTACCCGGACATAAGTTTACGCTGTGCGGCACTAGGTTGACCAGGGTAGGGTGTTACGATTTGCTTCTCAGTCTTACGCTTTCTTTCTCACTTCCTTTAAAAAAAAACTGGCCTGCTTCTATTTCGATCATTCTCTGGGTGAAACACTGCTCTATGCACATGATCTTAGCAATTTCCATGGTCGGCATAAAGCTTTCAACCACTACAGCAAATCAACATGACTGCAGAGACGTGCCGCTAAGATACACTTACTTCTACCATAGTGCTACGAAGGCATAGCATCACAAATTTCACATTCGAGTCCATGTACACTTTTCAGTTTGTGAACTGGAATGCGAACTTTCGCATTTTCCGTTCCGAAAAGCAATCGGACCGCAAACCGTCGATTCGTGTCATGCAGGCCAGTCTTAAGTTCACTAGGCCGTGCTGCCTGTACAAATGTACGGCCTTTCAACGCTCTGCAAGCACGAATTCTGTTTGCTTATCCTCTCCGACACGTGAAAGTCATCACTGATTTTCACCTTCATTAGGGGCAAACTTTAAAGTTGCGGACATGTGGTATGCACTGAAGTATATGCATGGTGATCATGCCAACGAGGACCCACTGCTAGTCAGACTCACCTGGATCATGCACTGGGATTATACTGAGACTTTACACACTCTGCAACAAACCGAATACGAGACCAGTGCCACTCAGAGCAGACGATGAATGAAGAGGCAAGCACTCGGGTTTTTTTTAATGAGTCTTTCTGAGTCTTTCTACTGAGATCTTATGATCCCTCACACCCAGACAGCGAATGACCAAAATGCTATTCCACTGGTGCTCATCTTGTGCTGGTATGAAAGTGCGAAAGGTCTCTACTCTGTGGAGTTAGGCTCACGGGAGTGCGAGGAAAGTCTCAGAAGCAACCAGTACAGACTACGGATGCATAGCAGGGCGTATCATTTGGGTTAAAGCCATGGCCGTATATTCGATTACAAAGCCTGTCTCATTAATTTTATAAAGCGGTCATGCATGGCTTTATAACTGAGATAGCATTTGTAATACAGTGAAACCTGTCTAAGCTGAGCGCCCATAGGACCTTCAAAATGTGGTCGCTGTGTACAGGTGATCTCCTTATCCAGGGTCCCTTGGTCCCGGTTGTAGTGGTCCTCTAGAACAGATGGTCGCCTTATCAGAGTGGTCGCCTTGACAGGTTTTACTGTATGTTCTGTAAACTGAAGCAATACGTCAGACATACAGTATACATACTCACTCTTATCTGCATAAGGGGAGTTGTTCGCAGGGGCCGATTTCAGCATAGAGGCTCTCCGGCTTGATCCCACATTCCGATTCTCGTTAGGCGGACCATCGAGGCTCTCGTTAGGCGGACTATCGGGGCTCTCGTTAGGCGGACTATCGACGCCCTCGCGTCCATCACCGTCTCCTTCGACTGCCGGTATTACTGGAGCATCAACCTGCCACTGGCGATGTTCTGACGTTTGCTCATCAATCGTCGCGGAATCCAGGACGATAGCCACCACAATGAAAATCACTACAAGTGACACAACCAACGCTAATCGAAGAATTTTTCCCATGCTTATTCAAGAATCGCCGTGCAGCTAGGTATGTCGGACGTCGCACGGTGCGCGTGACGCGCTGCTGATCAGTTTCTTGAGGTTTTCGTCACGACATGTGCCGTGGGACAGCCAAGTGCGAGTGCAGGCAGTTGTTGGGTCGTGCGGTCGATGAGCAGGTGTAACTAACGTTATGCTACCGCGTACCGCCTTCGGAATCAAGGGCGCTTCCGGCACGGCGCTACCGACTAACATCAACGGGGTGCACTGCAGCAGGTGGCGGCAGGTGGAGGGCACTAGAAAGTTGAAACGGAGTAGACTGACGGAGTGAGTACAGTATTTAAACAGCCTGCGACAACCAAGGCTGGCAGGATATTCGGATCTAGGAGTGACCTGGCCAGCATGCACGCGGGTAGATCCCGTGCCGTGGGCTTGGCAGATGTAGACAACACTTGTACTATTGTAAGAAGCTGCGAAACGACCACCGGTAGTTGGTTTGCTACATTCGCAGCGTGAGTCTCTCTGCTGTCGCGCCGGAAACAGTGGCAAAATAATTCCGAGTCTTTAGTTTATATCCAGTCGTTCTAACCTACCGTAGTCTACCTATGTAGACTACGTAGGTCTACAAACCAAAACAGGTCCTACAGATACGGCCTTTACACAAAAATACTGAGTCTGTAGAGAGTAGCAAGACTCAGTGCATAACCCCAAACCTAGCCCTACGCGCTACTACTGCATGCCTACTGGGCCCTAGTGCGTGGTAGATCTACTAGTATGGTGCACTTGTTGGCGCGGGAAGCATTGTAGTTAGGCTACTGCAGGCATAATCATGATCATGATACATGTAATGCCATGCCATGCCGAAGGCGTTTTGAAGTTTTTCCTGCCTTGCAGAGCCTAGCCGGCCGTTGCGCTCATATCATGTCGCGACGTGACCTCAGTACCGCCGCGTGGTCGTACATGTAGTCCGTGCAGGTATACACACTATCGTCTATCCGATGTACGTTCAACACTGTCACTGTACCAACAATGGACTGCAACCAACACAACAGCACTTTCACCCAACACGGCATCAGAATGAGGTTATGAAAAATCATGCACCGGCGTGCACTAAGTTATAGTAAGTAGTCAGTAATCATCATTCACAACAATACAAGGAGGAATTTTTTTATCGCCTGCATGATGATTGCATTGAGTTGCGACATTGAGAATTGAGCATTGAGTTGCGACAAATCTGTGAACCTCCGTTGTGCCTTTTGTGCGACAACAATACAATCATGTACCAGTTACATACAATCATGTACCAGTTACATACAATCAAGAGTACATAACCCCAGTGTTATTTTACTCTTGATACAATTACATGTACTTCGAAGTACAAGTATGTAGTCATTCGCCACCACTTTACTTAGGCACAGGTGACAAGCATGGTTAGGCACCAGAGGATAATAGATTTCACGGTTCGCGTGAGACTCGGCTGGAAGCCGAGTTTTCCGCATCCGCCGTGGGAACGCCACCACCCTCTAGGATCAAGGCGCAGATGCAGCGCCTAAACGGTGGGAGGTGAGTAGATCAGACCCACCACCAAGTCAAGTGGTCAAAGACCGAAATCCCATTAGCTGCATCCATGTTACCCTCGTGCCAGGCCACGAGTTCCCAATTAACTGTGGGTTGCAGCACGGCTGGAAACATTCCTTCCGCTTCCAAGCAGGACTTGAACCAGAGGATAATGCCAGCATAATAACTAACTACTGTCACTGTACATGACAAAGCAGAGAGGTTCCAGGCTGCCCAAGAGAGTGCTCAATAGTAGTCAATACCTACATGTACATGTATACTAGCATAATACTTTTAAATACATGTACTACTAGTCTGTAGCATAATTAATAACTACATGTAGCATAATGAGTTCCATGGTTACGTTAGCAGAGGACTCAGCTTCCTTGACTCAGTTTACATTTTTACACGTAACCAGGGGAACGTACACGTAGTTGGGCTGCTGGTCCTGGAGGCCACCTGTACTACTACTAGACTAATTACATGTATGTACATGATACAGCTGCAGCTACAGGTCATTATCATGAAACTACATGTAACTTAAACGTTACTTGATCACCACTTGTAAGCAAGTTACAATGTACATGTACATGTACATGTAGTTGTATGCGTAAGGGAAGTGGGTTTTTCCCACTTACATGTACATGACTGTACATGACATTGTATTCTGTGTCCAGCTTCAGGTAGACATGGTCCGCTTGAGGCGTGGCGCAGGCTGATGTCATGTACATTGTAGCTCAAACCTCTTTGGAGGTGAAAATTGTTCAGAAAAGGTGATGTTTCCTCTGGCATATAAAGTTGTTCGTCCAGCGGCAGCCTAGCATGCATTTACCCATACAGCATTACAGCGTTACAGGGATACAGTATTGTGCATCTTGTTGTTCATGTCGTTTTCTTTCGACGCGTTTGCTGTGCAGTGAAGCTGAGACCCTAGGTCGGCAGAGCACATCAGACCCCGTCACCACGTCCACGATTCATGCCTGCGATGCTGCACCGCTGCTTTGCATGTCATGATTGGAAGCTGTGGCCTTAGTAAAAAAACAAAACAAAAAACAATGTACATTGGACTCATCACGGTGTTCTCTTTCCAATCTATTATTATTATTAGAGTGTTAGTGAATGTAGGCAACACGCAACTTCCCCGAACTTCGAGGCCCCGATGTATAGCACCTGAAATGCATGTTGCATTGATCATGTTGCCTGTGTTGTAAATGACGATACATGTAATACAATCATCATGATCATGTCCAATGTACTACATGTACTACTACTGAGTAGTGTTGACTTTTCTTGAGAGTGTTGACTTCTGTCTTCATGAGAGTAGACTGCGATCTGCGGCTCCGTCCTTTTGCTTCCGGTGTTCTGCCCCCAGGGTCTAGGGTCTAGGATCCTAGGCGAAAATTCGGAAGAATTGAAGAATTTTGTGTGGCCAAGTACTGACTGAGTTCTTGTATGTGTATGTATGTGTGTGCTGTTAATTGTTATTGCCAAGTTATGACAAGTCTAAAAATACTTATTAAAAAATAGAGTAACGTTACGCTTCAATTCGTTGTGAGAAGAGCCACTTGTGTGTAGACCATGGCACCTGTCATTTTCACGAATGTGATTTGCTGGCTAGCTTCCCATAGCCTAGGCCATGCACAATCAGTGCCAGCACCATGGAGACACAAGTGGCAACAATGCAGAGGAATTCAGCATGCAAGCGTACTACTTGATCCGGTCATAGTCAAACATTGCCTGCATACTAATGATCATGACATCAGAGGGATCACCGTTGCGCAATTGCAGCACGCAAGGTTGCACAATAAAATGTCGGCCCAGAGTATCCGACCACCAAGACGAGACAATCACAGCCCTTGCAGCAGTACATGTATTGACTGCATGTATTGACATTAAGTTGAGTCGGTCATCAATAACGAGTTACGTTATTGGCACACAGTCTATTGCATGGCTGTTTTCTTGAATGACTGCAGCATTCGACCACGGCCCGGCCTAGCATGCACATCCGCACCAGTGCATTCCACTGCACTCTCTGGTCTTGTACCTCAACAAATGGAAGTTTCCGGAGGAGGAAGGAGGAAACTGTAGTTATCACCAACCCTCACCGCGCCCAGCTCACGCCGCCACGGCGTGCGACCTGAGCTGGGCGCCCTGCCCAGTATGGAACTGTCCTCAAGCCAGTCACGTTTTTGGCAGCCCAGTGAGCTGTCTACCGGATCGCAGCGTTTAGAAGCGCCAAATGCGGCAGGGCCAGTCTCAGGCTGGTCGCGTAGGCGGCAGGCCGGCGGGCGACCGGCAAGGCTGCATTCGCATTTGGATCACCGAAGTGATACAGGTGCTTCGACGGCACTCCGTGGCGCATCAAGGAGGCATCTGGGGCCCAGGCAGCCCGCCCGTAAGCGCACCACCGTATCAGGTATGCGCAGGTGGAGCAGCAGAGCAAGATGTGTGCCGGACACTCACCATCATCCGGTCGACTGCATGGTTGTGCGACTTTACACAGCCGTCACTCATTACTTGCTATTGCTTGCAGAAGGCCAGAATTTTTTTGCTCTCGTTTGCTCTAAAGCTAGTTGGTTTACGTGGTTTATACCCGTACCTGAGCATGGATCCTACTCAGCAGCGGATCGCTGGTATTCCTCGTTTGAGACCGCGGCGACGGCAGCGTCGGCCCTGACCAACAAGCCTCGGGCGATGAGCATGCCGGCCGAAAATGCAGGCATGGACACTGTCGTGTATGACCAGTTTAGTTGAGTTCCTTGGAGGCGCTATGATGCCGGCCGGCGCATGTGTTGGCGCACGGGAGACGATTAGGACAATACGGCGTGCGGAATACGTCGAGCTGGCCACAATGCTTCCTTCCTGTCCTGCCCACACGCAGCCAGCAACCAAACGTGTTAGAATCGATCAATCCGATGGCAATCACTGAGTGGAATTGTCATTGGCGGCTCCTCTTCTGGCAAGAGAAAAACTGAATCTCTAATCTACTGGGTCGAGGCCTGGCAGACTTTCAGAACCATCGCGCCTTGCAACACGAGCTTACGCCCTCTGGGGCCCTAAGTAGTCCGACAAGAAATTCATACTGCACGGCGACAAAAAGGCAGTTGGAGCAGTGTGAAATCCGGGACTTGCCGAAATCCAACCGTAACGGAACTAGCCCACTTCAGCCCCCGCATGGTAGCAGAACACAAGGCTTTATCTCGCTGACTACCCATATTACGGTCACGGACAACTCCGCTGCGGACGCTCTTTCACGCGGACGATTAGTCCATTTCCTCTCATCGGCTCCCTAATCCAGCTGCTGGACTCGGCTTAGTCCCGAACTCATGCTATGCGGGAGCAACTAATCATGGCAGCAAACCGGCTGAACTTCTTCTCAACCAATGCGTGCCTCCTTTTTCATTCGCTGTGTAGTCTATATCTCTCAGCACACGTGGGTAAGCACGCAAGCACACACACACCCTCGCACACGCATACATACATACATACATACATACATACATACATACATACATACACACACACACACACATACTCTCTCTCTCTCTCTCTTTAGCTCCTCTCCTCCATCCCTCACCCTGCTTCGCCTCTAAGTGCTGTCGCTCCCCTCTCCTTCCTACTCGTACTAGGCGGCATTACACCAAGTCTCAGCATGTGGGGTCTACTTTGCTGTTTTGGGGCTTTGTTTGGACATGGCAAGCTGTTATCTTTTTCCTTGCGGCTGTCGTCGCTGTTGCCATTGTTGTTTAGATACCACGGCGAGCCGGCAGTACGTGCCGGTGTTGGCGGGCTGGCGACCTTGTTTTACTTTCAGTAATTAACACTTTACCCGAGGTGCGACGGATTAATCCGTCACGACCGCGCAGGGCATATTGCAGACACGCGTATGTGTGTTACACACACACACTCACACATTATGCGCACCCGGCGGGCAGGGCGATTGGCCCATGCTGCTTATTCAGTTGTACTAGCGGAGGCAGGGGCGATTCCCCTACGTAATCGCCCATGCGGCGGAATACCCGGCGGCCTGATACGGCGGCGTTGCGAGCAAATGCAGGGGTGGTTCCCTTTTGAGCTCTGTTTGTGGCGGCGGCAGAGGCAGGGGCAGCGCCCCTAGCCCATGCGGCGGTTGACCCGGCGGCCCGACATGGCAGTTGGCCCCGGGGTCCGATATGGTAACTGACCCGGCGGTCTGATATGGCGGCTGACCCAGCGGTCTGATATGGCGGCGGCGGCTGACCCAGCGGTCTGATATGGTGGCTGACCCAGCGGTCTGATATGGCGGCTGACCCAGCGGTCT